TCTTGCTAGGGCCAGTGTTAGCAACGTCTCCCAGGCCTGAGACCCTTGAGATCACCTAACCAAACTGTACACGGAATAGCTCCTCAAGTATACCAGCGATTAGCGATCTTAATAATTTCGAATTGTAGCTAATGTATTAGAGACAATAAAAAAATGCCTGATGATAATTTTTTTTTTTCCTACCTAAGCTGATAGCCTTGAGAGGCTATACCAGCGTCGCTTTAGCTAGTAGGTGAGCTCACGGTGCTCAAACCTGACGACGTTGCTAACACGAACCCTAGCAAGAGCAGTGCTTCGCAGAATCTACCACCGGATCGGAAACGCGACCCACTGAGAAGATCCGGCGAGAAACTCAGTGGGCTGTGTCTGAGGGTTTGATGATAAAATCATAAAACTGACTATTTTAGTTCTATCCAAGAATCGCGGGGACCGTGTATCGCTGCCGCGTGCTCGGTGCGAGTTTTTTAACGTTGTCGATTGCGTAAAAGTTAACTCGAATTTGTATGCAGTCGAAACAGCGCCCCTGACGGCAAACGTAGACAAACGTTTCAACTCAATACAAATTTGCGTTAACTTTTACGCTATCGAGAACGTTAAAAAGCTCGCACTAAGCAAAAAGATACCTAAAACCCAATTTCGCAGTACTCCAAATTACTAACTAGCTCTTTAAAAGTTCCGCTGTTTCTCCTTTAATGTGAACTCGCCTTTATAATGCGAAGACGTCGACGTCATTCGGTATGAACCAGAATTATTAGAATTTTATTTTGAATAAGACGCGTAATTGAGTCGACTATTATCAAAGCCGGCAATCTGACTTTTGGATAATTATTGGTAAATCAGAAAAACGAATTATTGACTTTGTATTCCATTGGCAGTCACAAAACTCTTCGGAACGACATCTTAGATAAATAACAGGTTAACTATTAACCTTTATTTAATGCAGGTTTTGAACCGTATTCTTTGAAGGAGACGATTATATTCAAATCNCATTGGCAGTCACAAAACTCTTCGGAACGACATCTTAGATAAATAACAGGTTAACTATTAACCTTTATTTAATGCAGGTTTTGAACCGTATTCTTTGAAGGAGACGATTATATTCAAATCAATCTGTATTGACATATCAATAACATTTTTTTGTCCAAATGCACAGATTGCCACCTTTGATAATAGACGACTCAATTTATGTAATTGTTGTTAGATTAGCGCGCCATCTGTTGTTCGGGACGTGACGAAGTTAATTGTCGGGAACCGTGGGTGATTAGCCCACAGATACCATAGATAACACACATAAATTAGTTGTAGATAAGCAACTCAAGCACTCAACAAAAATGTTTACGGGCTTCGGCCACTAGATGGCTTCGCTTCGATTAGTTTCTCATTGCTTTTGTAGATGGCAGTAACAAATTACCTATCCTATATTATTATTACTTTAATTCTTTATTAGAACCATACACCTATTAGGTTAAGTCCGCTTATTCTATTTTTAATGAAGTATTTTGTAAATTTTTAGAAACCACAAATTGATAAAGTTTAATCATTTTGTCTTTAACAAATAAAGACTTGTATGATTTTTTTTTCTGTTTATTTATACAATAATTAAATGCCTTAGCTTTAACAACGTATAAGTTTAGGGGGATCCGCTGCAAGATGTCGCTAGTTTCCACACAAAACATTATTTGTCTTATAGTATCGCAAATTCAGGGCCCTGATAGACACAGCGCATTGAGTTTCTCGCCGAATCTTCTCGGCGGCTCGCGATCAGGCGGTAGATTCAGAGCGAAGCACTGCTCTTGCTAGGGTCAGTGTTAGTAACTCTATCCTCTAGTACAGCGGTCGGGGAACTTTTTTAATTACTAGTGATCCCGCAGTAGTCGAAATTTGACTATAATTAATTGAAATTGTAAGTTTGTACACTAATATGATTCTATTTACAAAGACTATTATACTATAATCACGAATTTCGCCAAGACTACACTATAGAAAAATATAAATAAAGTCAAACAATATTTAATCTATTCTCAATTTGACTACAGACGTCAAGAACAAAAGCTTAACAAGAAATAAATAGTATGCATGCGTGTGTGATTTAATGTATCTTTTATGCATTATTTTATAAAAATATTAGCATTGTGCACTCCTTCTCTATATTCTCTATAAGTGTGGAAAATTTCATACTCCTCCGTCCGCGCAATTTTCGGAAAAAGGGATACAAAGTTTTTGCTTCACGTATTAATAGATATAAGTAGATTACCTCAAAATATTTTTGTGTAAGTTGATATTACCCCATGGCGAAGAACAAAACAAAAAAAACAAATCGCTTCTTTTTACCATCTTTCATATTATAGGCCCCATGATAATTTTGAAAAAAAAAACAAATTATTTTTTCTTTTCGTTTCATTTCGTTCCATCGAGTTTGAAATCACAACGATTCTAAAGAAGTTTCACTTCAATATATACTTTTTACCCCCCAAAATTTCATTTTCCCCCAATTGGGGTAATTTACCCCGGTTCCTCGACCGCTGCTCTGGTAACTATATCCTAGGGTGAGGCAGCCGTTGTAACTATACTTGAGACCTTAGAACTTACATCTCAAGGTGGGTGGCGCATTTACGTCGTAGATGTCTATGGGCTCCAGTAACCACTTAACACCAGGTGGGCTGTGAGCTCGTCCACCCATTTAAGCGATAAAAAAAAAAACTTATATCTCTAGGTGGGTGGCGGCATTTACGTTGTAACCTCTCAACACCAGGTAGGCTGTGAGCTCGTCCACCCATCTAAGCAATAAAAAAAGCCATTTAAAGTTTAAAATTTGGTAAAAGTATCATAACAAAAAAAAACTTCTTCATCTATTCGAATAGAATAAGCTTAATTGAAGTTCAATTAAAAATATCGAACTGTTGATGCTGATACCGAATAAAACGGACCTTTAATTATAAATATATATATCGCGTCTTAAGCGAAATTTCGCTTAAATAAAAAAGGCTTTCACCTCTCGGTATCTTCTGGAAATTCTTTCGATACGATAAGTCATGTGAAATGCTGTATTAAAGCATTTCAGTTCGGTAACACAATTGCACTCAGTGAAGATTTAGCGCCATCTGTTGTCGGATAGGGACCGAAGCTTTTTCGCTTTATTCAAAGATACGTTTCTTTAGATATTATTCGAATAATTACATGATTGCGTATTTTTTTAATCACTAGTTTTGTTTTTAAATTCATCTTATTTTAACGCCGAAACCGTTTGAGTTTTATTTTTTATATATTTTATTGCCCGTGTAGGCAGACGAGCATACGGCCCACCTGATGGTGAGTGGTTACTGTCGCCCATGGACGTCAGCAATGCCAAGCCGCTGCCTACCGCTTAATACTATAATAGTATAATTTTATAATAATAGTAAATTTTTAATAATGAATTTGTTAAAGTTACATTGTCTTTAATTACGTCTAAGATAATGAAAAAAACAAACGAAGCATTTTAATCTATGTCAATCTTGAGAATTTTTTAATGTGTCAACACAGATGCGTGCTTTGAATTTTTTTTTATTGCGTTGACTGCGGAATCCTTGTTGAAGGATTTTCAGTCAGTGCGTATGAGGCTTTGCGAGGCAAGATTAGACCTCTTTGTAGTGCGTTTGAGACCAGTGTGCCTAGTGCGAGCTTTTGAACGTTCTCGATAGCGTAAAAGTTAACTCGAATTAGTATGGAGTTGGAACGTTTGCCTACGTTTGCCGCTAGGGGCGCTGTTCTGACTGCATACAAATTTTAGTTAACTTTTACGCTATCGAGTACGTCAAAAAACTTGCACTAAGCACACAGATAGGCCTCATAAACGCCCGTTTTTTTATATACCCATACCTCTGTAAATGTGGATATAATCAGCTATCGTACCGAAGAACGCAGTTTTGACTGCCGCGTCAAAGGATAGTCTTTTAAGCTAAGTCAACGTGCTAAATTTCAAATGCTATTTTCTGTTTTTTTTCTCTCAAACGACAGAAGCTAATTTTGTAGTCACTCGACAAAAGGTTTTCTTTAGGTCGACGCCAACAGTTTGCCATTCGGTCCACAAGATCGGGTATGTAGTTACCGGCTGCCACGACAAGAGGGTTATCGTGTCGTGCCGCCTTCTCAAAATGACGCACTGATGGCGACTGGAAATGCTGATGGAGCAAGAAACACAGCGGGCTCAGTGTGCTTAGTGCGAGTGTTTTAACGTACTCGATAGCGTAAAAGTAAGCTCATATTTGTAGGTATACGGGCGCTGTTCCAACTGCATACAAAATTGGCTTAACTTTTACGCTAACGAGAACTTTTAAGAAACTCGCACTAAGCACACAGATATGAATACTCCCCCGAGAATATAGGCAGGGTGCACACCACCCGTCTGGACTGGTCAGTGCTGATAGGCTAAGATATGTACTCACTGAGACGTCATAATTCAAGAGTACATTCATTTACATTGTCAAACGAACGACACTGAACGAATATATTTTAAAGTCCAAAATAACGTTAGTTGAAAAATCAAAATTCAGTTACGGAATACCGCGCATTCGAGACAAACCAATTTAAGATTTACGTCCGATCGTTAGAACCGAAATTCGCTAAACCCTAATCCCGCAAAGTTACGTTTGCATCTCCCGACGGCGCTAGCGTGCAACTTTTCAAAATGATATCATTGTGAATTACGCTCAATTAAACCTTAAGCCTATTAAATTAAAAACTAAAATAGATTCGAATAAATTTTAGATTAATTAAAGTTGATTCTCCCATATATCTCCTCGACGTTTCTAGAAAAATCACAATAACCTTTTAGTGCCGTGTTCGGCCGCGTTCGACGCCATTTTGCTTCGTCAGATAAAAAGTCAAATGTAATGCAAATCTTTTCGTATAAATATCGGGTTCTCTTGAAACAAAGTGCAGTGTTGGCACGTATTTATTACACGCCATACTCCCCGGTGTGGTTCTGTTTACTCATAAAAATCTTATATCCAAATATAAGTATGAGTTCGTTAATCATTGTATTTTTCGTTTTCGCATTGGCGGTTTATAAATTGCTTAGAAGGAAGACCGTGCGGTGGGTGAAAACGAATAAATATGGCGGAGTCGAGACGGCCATTCTAAGGACCGCACCGGGGCCCGTTTGCTGGCCCATTTTCGGGAGTCTACACCTTCTGGGCAGCCACGAGTCGCCCTTCCAGGCCTTCACTGAGCTATCGAAGAAATACGGCGACATTTTCAGCGTCAAATTGGGCAGCGCCGATTGCGTGGTCGTTAACAATTTATCTCTGATCAGGGAAGTTTTAAATCAAAACGGCAATGTGGTGGCGGGACGACCGGACTTCCTGCGCTTCCATAAGCTCTTCGCCGGCGACCGGAATAACTGTGAGTTTTTTTGAAGTGAAACTTCCTTATCGGCGTTGGAAAAAAATTTACCGTCACATTTTTCGGTTACGCGTCACTTTTTTCCGTTACGCGCCATCTGTTTTGTATTCATGTCTATGATAATAAAATCCTTTTGTTTAAACTTTATCTAATTTAACTTTTTTGTATTCATGTCTATGATAATAAAATCCTTTTGTTTAAACTTTATCTAATTTAACTTTTTTGTATTCATGTCTATGATAATAAAATCCTTTTGTTTAAACTTTATCTAATTTAACTTTATTTAACCAATTTCTAGAAAGTTGCATGTAGATCATTTTTCGAAAAATAAGGCCATAAACAAGTTTCACTTCTTACGTGTGTACACTAGTACACGCACACATTTTTTTTTTATTGTTGTTCTCTTGTTTTTTCTGCCTATGCTGATAGCCTTAAGAGGCTATTACAGCTTCGCTTTGACGTGTAAGTGAGCTCACGGGGCTCAAACCGGAGGTGTTACTAACCCTGGCCCTAGCAAGAGCAGTGCTTCGCAGAATCTACCACTGGATCAGAAACGCGACCCACTGAGAAGATCCGGCGAGAAACTCAGTGGGCTACTTTGTTCTCAATAAGCATACGGATGTTTTGAAATTTTGTTTGTTTTAATAATTCTCTAATCATTTTTAATGCACTAAAATTCACCTATACTATCGAAAATTATAAAAATAACTCACCGAGATCATTTTTAATATGTCACAAAAATAACACAAATTTTTCTTTTTCTTAATTTTTTTTTTTTTGTTAACTTCAACGTCTGTTCAATATTTATTTATTGGAAAATGCTAAATTTCAACATGAAACGCGAGTATCATTTCCGACATGTAGCACTCTACTGGATTTGCGGGAAACTAAACTAAAGCTATATTATTTTATTCGGGGTTTCGCGTTTATCACCCTACGATGCTCACAGGCGATAGCTATCTTTCAACGGCCGTCTGGTGTAGTGGTAAGTGACATGGTCACTACACAAGGGGGTCGCGGGTTCGAATCCCGCCAAGGGAAGATATTTGTATGATAAATATAAATGTCTTTTCCAGGGTTATGGATGTATATTAAATATATGTATGTGTATAATAAAAATCTTACATTTATATCCGTTATCTGGTACCTGTAACAGAAGTTCTTTACGAACTTATCACGGGACTAGTTAACGTGGCGTGATTGTTAGTAAATGTTTATTTATTTATTATCTTTGCTTTTTAATCTAAGCTTTTTTGTATTCGAAGGCAAAGGAGCTTAGATTATTATTACTCGCAATTACTTACCGGTGGAAGGACCTATTGTGAGTCTATCCTACCTGTTGCCGACTCAACGGTTCTGATATATATTTATTTATTATATTCCCTGTCAATTATTAGGGAATCGACAATCAACTTGTTACTAACGCGAGGCTTTCTTGTCTGAAGGGCAGGAAGTAACCTATTTCAACTTGTGTTTTTGGCTGAACAAACAAATCCAGTAGCTATGAAATTCTATTCGAATTTTCCAGTATCAAATTCTTTTGACTGATGGTAGGGTGTCTATGGAACCTCTTTGATGAGCGAGAAAGCGGTTTTGTAATACAATTCAACTTTCGATCGCATGTCGCAAGGTATCAGAGGAAGCCAGGATTTTAACAGTCTCCTAAGAAAAACCTTTTTTTTTCAAATACGCTCTAATGGTAGGACGTCTTGTGAGTCCGCGCTGGTAGGCACCACCACCCTACCTGTTTCTGCCGTGAAGCAGTAACGCGTTTCGGTTTGAAGAGTTAGGTACGTCAACGTCATTGGCCCTTGACGCGCGCGCGAATTTTGAAGTCAAACAGCCTTCTTGTAGTCCGTTGGGAATGACGTTCAAAGTTTTCGTTACGCACAGACAAACATGTCTAATAAAAGTTTTTTTTTATAAAAAACGATCGCCATATCCCCTGATCAATCGTAATCTGAGTAATTAGTCAAAATGCGCCAAACCAGACGCAGGTTTTCGTTACGAAGCAAAAACGGGTCGCGCTTGTGTCGAAATTTCTTATTCGACAAAAATTAGCAGAATTAACAGTCGGCAATCTGTAAATTTGCCTACGCGATGGAAACGCTACGTAGGTAGGTCACACCGTCAGTTATGTACAATAAGCATATTTTAACAGAAAATACATATCGAAAAGTCAACGTACCTATGGCTTTTTTATTTATTGCTTAGATAGGTGGACGAGCTCACCGTCCACCTGGTGTTAAATGGTTACTAGTGCCCATATACATCTACAACGTTAATGTGCCACCTACCTTGAGATATTTATATATTAATACGTGAAGCAAAAACTATGTATACCTTTTTACGAAAATTGCGCGGACGGAGCAGTATGAAATTTCCCACACTTATAGAGAATATAGAGAAGGAGTGCAGAAAGCTAATATTTTTTTTTAATTATGCATTAATAATACATTAAATCAATAAAAAAACATTACACACACTACCATGTATTTGACACACAAACCTATGTAGACTCATTGTCAAACGTTGAGGTCATCGTGGCCTAACGGATAAGACGTCCGGTGCATTCGTGTTGAGCGATGCGCCGGTGTTCGAATCTCAGGCGGGTACCAATTTCTCTAATGAAATACGTACTCAACAAATGTTCACGATTGACTTCCACGGTGAAGGAATAACATCGTGTAATAAAAATGAAACCCGCAAAATTATAATTTGCGTAATTACTGGTGGTAGGACCTCTTGTGAGTCCGCGCGGGTGGGTACCACCACCCTGCCTATTTCTGCCGTGAAGCAGTAATGCGTTTCGGTTTGAAGGGTGGAGCAGCNAATGAAATACGTACTCAACAAATGTTCACGATTGACTTCCACGGTGAAGGAATAACATCGTGTAATAAAAATGAAACCCGCAAAATTATAATTTGCGTAATTACTGGTGGTAGGACCTCTTGTGAGTCCGCGCGGGTGGGTACCACCACCCTGCCTATTTCTGCCGTGAAGCAGTAATGCGTTTCGGTTTGAAGGGTGGAGCAGCCGTTGTAACTATACTTGGGTTTGATTTTTGTTAAACGTTATGTTATTCCTTCACCGTAGAAGTCAATCGTGAACATTTGTTCAGTACGTATTTATTATCGCAGTCCACTATTCTATTGTTACAGGCGTACCGATATACTACTTACTGTCTTTACTTTTTATATTACTTTAGTTTTACGAACACGCTTGTTGTCCCTCACTATGTTAATGTCCATAGGGGACTTTTTGGCGGGAACGCGAGGAGTGAAGTTGTGTGATTTGTTTTATCTTGTCTATTTAATGTTTCTTCAGGTTTAAATGTGTAATAACGGTGGTTTATTAAATGTTTAGTATCTGTGAGAGTGCACAAATGTGGGAAAATGAAACAAAAAGCCGTTGAACGTAACTTCTCGGGATCCTCCAAAAAGTCTACTGAAAAAGTCTCAGTAGATGACCGCTATTTTACTGAGAATATATTTCATCCCATACCATCTCATCTCATTTCATTCCATTCCATTTCATATCATTTCATTTCATGCCATGTTTCATATTAATCAACTTCTTTTCATTTCATTATCATTTTTCTTATTTAAAAAATATATAAAAGATTAGGCTGTATGGTACATCTTTGCCTTTCCAGTTGGAAAAATAAAACTACTACTACGATCACTTTATTGTTGCTACTGAATAAATAAATAAATAACGTGCCTATCTTTGTTGCAGCTCTGGCCCTGTGCGACTGGTCCAATCTCCAGCTGCGCAGGAGGAACCTGGCGAGACGGCACTGCGGTCCCAAACAGCACACCGACTCCTACGCCAGAATCGGCACCGTCGGCACCTTTGAATCTGTCGAGCTAATTCAAACCCTCAAAGGATTGACCAGCAGATCGGACGCCAGCATCGATCTGAAGCCGATACTGATGAAGTCCGCCATGAACATGTTCTCAAACTACATGTGTAGCGTCCGTTTTGATGACGAAGACCTCGAATTCCAGAAGATTGTCGATCACTTCGACGAGATATTCTGGGAGATCAACCAGGGCTACGCTGTCGATTTTCTGCCGTGGTTGGCGCCGTTCTACAAAAAGCACATGGAGAAGCTCTCCAACTGGTCCCAGGACATCCGATCCTTCATCTTATCGAGGATCGTGGAGCAACGCGAAATAAGCTTAGACACGGAAGCTCCGGAGAAGGACTTTCTGGACGGCCTCCTCAGGGTGCTACACGAAGACCCGACCATGGACAGGAACACTATTATCTTTATGCTCGAAGACTTCCTCGGGGGGCATTCGTCTGTTGGTAACTTAGTCATGCTGTGTCTGACCGCTGTCGCCAGAGACCCGGAGGTCGGCAGGAAGATTCGTCAGGAAATCGACGCGGTGACCAGAGGCAAAAGACCCGTAGGTCTCACCGACCGCAGCCATTTGCCGTACACCGAGGCCACCATCTTGGAATGTCTCCGGTACGCGTCCTCGCCCATCGTGCCGCACGTGGCCACCGAGAATGCCAACATATCCGGGTACGGAATCGAAAAGGGTACTGTCGTTTTTATCAACAACTACGTTCTGAACAATTCCGAACAGTACTGGTCCGAGCCGGAGAAATTCGATCCGAGCCGTTTCCTGGAGAAGACCAGGGTCAGGACGAGACGCAACTCCCAGTGTGACTCCGGCCTGGAGTCCGACTCGGAGAGAGCGCCCGTCGGCAAGCCGGACGTCGAGAGGGAGATGCTTTCCGTGAAAAAGAACATACCCCACTTCATACCCTTCAGCATTGGTAAGAGAACGTGTATCGGTCAAACTATGGTCACGTCGATGTCTTTCACGATGTTCGCGAACATCATGCAGTCCTTTGAGGTCGGCGTCGAGAACATTAACGACCTCAAACAGAAGCCGGCGTGCGTGGCCCTACCCAAAAACACATACAAAATGCATTTGATACCTAGGAAGTAGCATTGGCAATAATGGCGTTCTTCTTAAATACTTTTAAGTGTCTTTGTTACTAGATGTTTCACAGAGCAACGTTTACAAAAAGCTTAGCAATGGCAGTGTCAAAAAGACTGGCAATAAATTATCTATCAACAAAACTTATGCTTCGAATGTTTTCAATCGATTTTTTGCATTTATTGGTGAACATAGCACACCTGGTGTTAAGTGGTAACTGGAAACCATAGAGGTTATCATTGTGGCCTTCCTGTGATTGCGTCGCCTCCTGCGAAACCTCACGACTCAAGACCGCATTCAACTGAATAATATTCTACGCGCGTTTAAGTAACGGTAAGCAGAGGCTTGACTCTGCCCCTGGCATTGCTGATGTCCATGAGCGACGGTCACCACTCACCATCAGGCGGACCGTATGCTAGTCTGCCTATACGGCAATAAAAAAGTAAGTCACAATAAAATTGTCGGCCATCTTGAATAAATTCACCAAAATAAGCTGAGTCTCTTTTTCAACACAAGAAATGAATTGAACAAACATTTCGAAGACATTCAAAGACTACATAGCTCTCTTAGCAACGCGCAGTGATGTCTATGGACTGCTGCATCGACGGTAAACGAAACTTGAATACTAATAAATTGTTATTGTTCACCTAAATTACTTCGTTTGAAAGGTTTGTTATCGTTCATAAAAACCGTGATTTAACTTTTAAAATAGGCTTTTCTAAATTTAATCTGATCATAGAAATTATATTTTATTTCACAACTTCACATGTAACTGTAATGAATTCAGAAAACTTATTTAGAAATTTGCGATTTTTTTTTTAAACTAAGAAAAAAGCGCGCGTTAATTGCAAACGCACACTAAAACAAAACATTGAATTAATAATTGTTTTACCGTGGTTGTTCTGGTCAGGAACTTGAATGAAAGCAATAAAATTATTATATCGTCATCGATCCTTGATGCGTGTGTAAGTTTTTAACTTTTTCCTGTTAATCTTGAATTCTGTGAAAATTACGATGAAACATTTCAATAAATACAAACTAAAACCATGTGACCAAATAAAAACGGTCAAACGAAAGAGACAACCTCGCTCAGAGTACTAAGTGTGAGAGGGACAGTAACATGATAAACATCTAGTAACAATGACACAGTTGATTTAATCAAGTCAAACGTTCATGTCGTCTCTTTTTTTAGCTTTTGCTAAGCCTAAAGAGTGCGAGAGAGACGGATAAACGTTAACTTTAAAATTAGTATTTGTGAAAGCAAAGAACAAAATTAATTAATCTCGTATGTATTTTTTTGTGTTCTTTTTGTTGTTTTAATAACATTTTGAGTTCAGTGATAAAAATATGAATTTGCAATTATTTGTAATAAATCTAGAATTGCTTCGAATCAATATTAAAGTTTATTTTATAGTGCATTTCGTGTATTTTTGAATATTATTACACAAAACGGACACAAGAAAACGGACAGAGATTTTGCTCAAATCTCTATTTATTTCTTTTAGAATACATACCGTATTTGTATAAAAAAAACCCAATACACACTTGTAGTGCTAATATTGCCAATATAAGCCCTATTTAGTGACATTGGTACTAAAATTTAACGCTAAACTTTAAGGGGGTTTAGTTTATTTGGGTGGCTGGAGATGTCGATGGTGACGCTTACGATCAAAACGAAAGTCTGCATGCTTACTGATTAATTGAAAAGGTCATTTTGTTTTACGTAAAACCTAATAATCGAGAGAAAAATATGACTGCACATTTTGTTCAAACATAATATGCAACAATTGCTGTTTTTGTCTATTGAAATTCTGTATAATTTAGGTAACTAAATACGCACATTATAACACCGGTTCCGGAAGCTTAGGTTGGTGATTGACCAGATTTCCGCTTCCTATAAAAAAAACTATAATCATACCTTTACATTACAATCTAGTAAAATCTGAGCACCGCTAAGGTGTGAGAAGTCTCATTAGAATCTTAATTCCCAAAAATAAATAAACAACCTAGTAGGTACTAAAAAGATCAGTCTCCGCTTACGTATTTATTGGCCTATTGACTAAAGGAACGCTCCTCATAAATCCTTGATTAAAAATTATATTTTATCTGTCTCAAGTATTAGATCGCGAAATTTTTGAGCTATGCAAAAATTAGTAATTTTAAATTTGACGTTTTTTTTATTTAGTCTTCTATTAGATTACTCGGCTTGGCCTCTAAAGTTTTGAAGAATTTTTGTATTTTAGGTAAGTAATATTTTCTGGTAGGTATTATTACAAAATATTCGTAATCGGTACACGTGGGTGGCGGAAGGACGTAAAGTTTAAATCTTTTTAATTATTTTTCACTATGGCAATTGCCTTCACTCGAATCCATTGTTGGTAGTGTTGTGTTTATTAAAATATTTTAATATTAATATGACTATTTTAAATGAAAAATGAATGAATGAATGAATGAAATGAAGCGGATGAATTTAGTTGATTTAATTGAAATTGTAATTCTTTAGAATGTTATGTAATGAAACGAGATGAGATAGCGTCCCAGTAAAATTGTAGAAATTCACTAAGACTTCAGTCGACTATTTGGAGGAACTCTAGCAGTCACGTCCGACGACTTTTACTGGTGGTAGGACCTCTTCTGAGTCCGCACGGGTAGGTACCACCACCCTGCCTATTTCTGCCGTGAAGCAGTAATACGTTTCGTTTTGCAGGGCGGGGCAGTCGTTGTAACTATACTGAGACCTTAGAACTCATATCTAAAGGTGGGTGGCGGTGTTTACGCTGTAGACGTTTATGCGCTCCGGTAGCCACTTAACACCGGGTGAGCTTATCGACCCATTAGCAATAAAAAAAATTAAAAAATTCAATTTCACACACTTAAGGCTTCGTCAAACAGAACGCGTAATTAGCGCGCGTCAGAGCGCTAAACTAACGCCGCGCTATGACGCCGAGGTGTGTTGTACTACTATAGTAACATACCGTCAAACGGAGCGCCAGCGCTATAGCGCTTAAAGCGCTGGCGCTCTGTGTGACGGTATGATACCGTAGTAGTACAACACATCTCGGCCTCATAGCGTAGCGCTCTGACGCGCGCTAATTACGCGTTCTGTTTGACGAAGCCTTTAAGCACATCCGCAGACGTTAAATGGTTATTAAGCCACACGTTTGATATCGATTAACTATTAAATTTTAACAAAGTAAACCAATTAACACAACTTCATTCTGTGATTTCCCGCCATAGATAATACACATATAAATTAGGTTCCCGCCAAAAAGTCGCAGAACTCAAGGTTATTAACTGATTGAAAAATAAACTGATTTAAGTGTGTGCGTGTGCCTAAAAATCTCCTATTCCCGGTTAAATATTTGATAAATTGTTTATTTTTTATAAAGTATATTCTAAATTGTTCGGAGCTAACAATCTTTTTAGATATTCAGAGTGTATTATTATGTTTGTACTGATTTTCAATGCATTTTTTTCGTAGTTACGTGTGTGTGTGTGTGTGTGTGTATGACGATATTGTTGAGTGCAAATTTAAGACTGTGAAAAACTTTGTGTGCAAGTACCTATTTCGTTCAAGAAATACATAATTCGAGGGTTGACAGGTTATTTGTTTTAAGTGAAATTTTTGCAACTTTACAAGAGAGCCATTTAAAGTTTAAAAAAATATCATAACCAAAAAAAAACCTCACCTATTTGAATGGGGTAAACTTAATTGAAGTTCAATTAGAAACATCGAACTGTTGATGCTGATATCAAATAAAACGGACCTTTAATTGCAAAGATAAATGTCGCGTGCTAAGCGAAATGTCGCTTGAATCTAGCCCTACCTTTCATCCCTCGATAAATGTCTGATACTATAATATGTTTAGAGAGAGAGAGAGAGACCGAGAAAGAGAAGAGAAAGAGAGAGAGAAAGAGAGAAAGAGAGAGAGAGAGAGAGAGAGAGAGAATAAATACACTTTACTGCACACCAACACAATTTACATTTTAAAAAAAAATAACATGTGTGCAATTCACACGTGTTAGAAGTGAAACCTTCAAAAATTAAAATACAATTATCCTAAATGTCGAAGTATATTATTAGTAAAATTTTGTCATTAGTAAATATGTAATAGTAAATCACCTTTTATAGTATGAGGTAGCGCCCTCTGTGAATTGATATTTTAACTTCACGTATATTCTAAATTAAAGTTAACTACAAGAGGTTTCATAGACACTTTAGTATTAAAACATCTCACAGATGGCGCTGTATTAAAAATAAAATTGTTTATACGTATGTTTTAAAGTATGTAGGAACTGAGCATTCTGTCTCACTTTTTCTCTCGATCTTTCTCACTTGCTTGCTCCCCACTCTCACTCCATGGCTAGTTGCTTCATGCTACGTTCGCCCTGTCTTACTCTATCTCAATCGGTCTCGATCGCTCTCTCTCTCTTTTTCGACACTTCCGTTGCATACCTGCGTGACGCTACATCTGTAAAAATTTTACCCTCACGCGCCTAAAGAAGTTTCACTTCAAAAAACAGTCAAAAAGCACATACATTTGCACAATAGGCGGTCTTATCGCTAAAAGCGATCTCTTCCAGACATCCGTTTAATTTACAGAAAAAACTGTAAAATATAAAAATACAGCAGGTATGTTGCGGTGTACCATAGACAATACGTTATTATAGAAAATATATACATATACATATAATAAACAAATACTTTTACTTATTTTACTTATTCTCCTATTTCTAATACTTTTTTCTTTAATTACGAACCGTTGCTTAGTGAGTAGATTAGCTTTGCATATTAAATTTTAATTTAGCTAAAGCAATTGTGAGTGTCCAATGTAGTCTGTAATTAAATTATAGATGTTAATCATAATTAGTGAATGAAATAATGTGTAGGTTAGGATATTTACTGGTGGTAGGACCTCTTGTGAGTCCGCGCGGGTAGGTACCACCGCCCTGCCTATTTCTGCCGTGAAGCAGTAACGCGTTTCGGCTTGAAGGGCGGGGCAGCCGTT